ATATATTATATAATATATATGTATAATACCTTCCATTTATATATATATATATATATATATATATATATATATATAAATACTCTCTTCCATACTAATCATAATTAAATCAAAACTCCATGTGTACACATATATACATATATATAAATATATATACACATATATACACCACCCTCCATAACAATATAATATATTATTATATTTACTCCAAACAATTACTACTAATCCTCGTAGTAACACTCTATGGTTCTTAGAATACCAAGAACACCTCCTCAAGTGGTTATTTTCAACCCTCACAGGCTTAAAATCAATTCTAAAAATTCACCGGACCCCACAGGACCTTTCCGGGACTCCGAACACCTCCTCACGCGCCCCCACGCGCCGCCAAACGCGCCTAAAACTCTGGAACGCGCCTCCACAAGAAGCCACGTGGCTTCACGCGCCCCCACGCGCTCTCACGCGCCGCCCATGCACCTGATTCTTCCTCTGGCTGACGTGGCGCTCTCTCATTTGCTGGATGTAAACTGGTCCTTATGCGCGTGTCACATAGGATCAGTTCACCGCATCTCTATACACCTCCATGCACTAGCACCACATCACATCAACTCTCCTTTCAATCAGCCACATCTAAGGTTCAAATTTATGGTACATTGAACCTCCATGCACCCGCATTACACTGAATCAATCTAGTTAACTTTAAATAATCCAATGGCCAAGATCAGCTTGTGTACCAAATTCCTATGCACCGTATCACACCAGAACCTTCGCTGGTCATCAGGACCATCCCATGGTCTTGATTTGAGGCGCACTGTAGTGTAATGTACCTGACCGCACCGAATCAGAATCGTTTTTATGCACAGAGACCTCTAATTCGTGTACCCAGTATGCATATATATTATTTTTTTTTATACACATAAATAATTCTAGAAATATCATAAAAATATAAAACAAATCCAGAAAAATATAGAAAAATTCTGAAAATTCTAGAAAAATTCCAGAAAAATAATTAACCCTTTTGGGTTACAAATTTACCTATACATTGATTTTAAAAACATATATACCACACCTATATACATAATTAAAATCCAATGAATACACAAATTAAATATAATAATTTATATATATATATATATTTTTTCGATCTAACATGATTTAATTAATGATTTTAAACTAAATTTTGGCACCCAAGGTGATAAATTTATGGGTCCTAAGAGGAGAGTTAGAGACAACTTGCCTGAAGATTTCGAAACGAAATCGAAGCTTTAACCTTTGATTGTCTCTTCCAATTTCGGTATCCGCTTTCTCAGATCCAGCCTATTCCTTGTCCGTTCTCTCTTCTTCTTCCCTCTTTGTCTCTTTTATTTTTCTAACGTGAAAACTTCTTAACCCTAAACCTTATGTGTATATTTATACACATTAAACCATAAATCCTATTCCTAGTAGGATTACAAAATAAAATAATAAACTAATATTATTTAAATAATATAATATATATATATAAACATATATTATATTACTTATGCATATATATATCTCCCATAATTAACCATCGGTTAATTAAATCCTAAATCCTATATATATATATATCCATAAACCTATATCCTTCTGTAACCCTTATCAATTAATTATATTTATATATAATTAAATCAATAAAAATGATTATTTAAATAATCAAATACCCATTGGCCTTTATTAATTAACCCATCAAGGCTTCATCCAAGTCCAAGACCATATCCTTTGGTCCAACATTCCTTAAGCCCAAACCAATTAATCTAAATAAATAAAATAATTAAATAAATACTTAAACTAAAATACTAATTACATAAAACACATAAACAAATAAGAATTTACAACTAAGTCACATCATCTCAATACGCCACAATTCAATCAATAATTAAATACACACACATCAATCATCATATCAATTCAATAAATGTATAATCACAAAATAAAATCTAACTAAAATGAGACAGTTAATCTAAACATTCAATTAAATAAAATAAATCATTTAAAAATAAAATAAAATTCATTAATCCCAATTAATAAATCCTTTAAATTATCGGGGTATTACAAGACGTCTTGATTACATTGAATTATCAAGTCAATAATGTTATCTGATGAAGAAGATGATGAAAATCGCGATGAGAAAGCCATTGGAATTTTTAGATCGAAAGAGATGTGAATTGATATTTTGCTAGAATAAGTTGAGATGAATGTAATAATGATGAGATGAACAAATGGTTGTTTATATAGTATGAAAAAAATAGCCGTTAGGAAAAAGTTAAAAAATAAATTTTATTTTAAATTTTAAATTTTAAATTTTAAAAATATTAAAATATTAATATTTTTGGAGAGCGAAAATGCACCATTGGAGTACATGCGATAACTAGAATTTGGTGACTCTAAAATGCTGACATGGCTATTGGAATATTGACGTTGCTATTGAAAAATGCTAATGTAGTAAATTTGGAGAACCTAATTTTAGAGAGTCTATTGGAAATGTTTTAAACAATCAGACAAAAACTCCTACAAGGCCATTTGCACTAGCCTCTCCGGATTTTGGCTCTCCAAAAATACCACTTCAGCTTTTACAAGAGTCACGTCAAGAATTCCAAGAGCTACATCAGCAGCTTTCGCTCCACAGAAATATGCACTCCGTCAGGCTCTCCGAATTTTCGACCTCCAAAAAAAAAAAAAATTAAAATTAAAATTAAAAAAAATAATCATAAAAAAATTTCCGCGGTTGAGGAATGATTTGATGAAAAATTTGTGGAACCGCTATGGTGATGAAGATGTTTAATTTATGTTACATTTTTTTTGCTTTTAAAATGTTATAACATTTTGTGTACTATAATTTTTATTATGTAATGGTTTTTTAAGATTAAAAATAATGAATTGGAATAAGAAAATGAGGATTACAAAATCCTATGGGAATAAGAAAATGAATTTTTAAATTTAAATTTTTTTATTAAAAAGTTTTTCAAAATTGAATTTTTTAAACTTTTTTTTAGAAAAATTATAGTCATTAAGGCACTTTTTGTGTCAGCCAAACAGTGCTTTAATGGTCTAATGCATTGTTTATGGCAGAAATTTAAAAATTAAAGCAAAAAAATATGAAACAAATTTGAAGGAAAAAAAAAAGGTTTTTTATTTTATTTTTGGCCCAAATAATTTTTTTTCTGGACAAACAGTGCCTAAACAATATATTTTTTATTTAATAAATTTTATTATTGTTATTTTTTTAAAAAAATGAGTTCAAAATAACCTATTTTGGGGTTTTTCCAAAAAAAAAAATCATGCCAAACAGGGCCTTAACCGTTAAGGCATTGTTCCTAACCGTCAAAAAAAAGAAAAAGAAAAAAGAAAACCTTCACGCAAAATGTTACCATTTTGCTAAAGGTAAAAACAAAAAAAAATTCCCCAATCGGGCTTGGGCTCGCGGAATTTCCGTGAACTAGCTCGTGAGCTGATGTAGGCCATGCTCATTTCCGCTATTCCGCTGCACTTCATTTTGGACTCAAAATCGTCAAAAATGAGCTTTGGCTAGCTGTGGTGCAGATGCTGCAAGCCATGTGCTTAATAAGTGGGTGATTAAACTGGGATTCACATTCATAAAATGATGAGATGGTTTAATTTTTGACCATTTCAACACCAATTTTCTAATTTCAAAAAATGTGAATCATAATTACAAACTGGTTTCTTATTTCATTTTTATTTATTTATTTTTTTGTCTCTAGTTGAACACGTAAGTTGCTAGCCACTAACTATTTGTTTATTCAAAAAATGTGAATCAATTAACTTGCCAATTGTTATATACATGGTACAGCCCACAGGGCTTGAGCCCCTTCCTGAATCATGACGCTTTGACACGTGTATATATAGACTATATAAATTAGATATAATATATATCTATATCGATATTTTATATATATATATATATATAAAATTAGAGAAGAAAATATATAAAATTAAAAAATTTATTTAATAATATAATAGTAAAAATTACTGATAATAATAATAATAATAATAATAATAATAATAATAGTAGAAAATCTAATTGGAAAAGAAAATATATAATATTTTAAAATTAAATTACCTAAATTTAATAGAAGAAAATCTAATTAGAGAAGTAAATATATAATATTTTAAAAATAATTTATTTAATTCAATAAAAGAAAATCTAATTAAAGGATAAATACTACTAATAATTATATAGTAGTTGGAAAAACTAAAATTCAATAAAAAAAATTTATTAGAAAAGAAAATTTATAATTTATTTTAATAAATACATAACAACGATTCTATATCAAAATAAACCAATAATATCCTAAACTAAGAATTCTATATAAAAAATATTTTTATATATAATTTTATAATTTATTTTAATTTTTTATAAATTTATTTCAATAAATAATATATTTTTATAATATTATTTATATATAATAAATAATATTGCAAAATTTTTCTTATATATTTTTTTGATCTTTTCCAATTCTTTTACTTTACATTTAAAATTATTTTTACCTTACAATTTTATTTTATTTTATTACTGTACGTGTGTTTTACTCTAAATTACACAATCCTTCTTAACGGGTGTCATCCCGAGATCGCTCTGGCTTTCACGCTCTGCGCACGCTTTGACTCAAATATAAAGTGTTTTTGTATTTCGATTGTTTTAGTAAATCAACATTAATATATAATATTAAAAAATATTATTTAATTTCTTTATCTAATCAAACCATACCGTTGTAGTACTGTTCATGAATCATGATAAAGCAAGGAATTGCTCAATTTTATGTTTGAATTTTGTTATGACTTAATTATATTTAATAAAAGCGTATATAAACCTAGGTAAAAATGAGTTCAAAACACGAGTTAGTATATGTATATTTGGAGAGATAAATATTGCGATAACAATTGAAATAAATTGATATTATTATTCAACGTGAAAATTCAATAAAGAATCAAAGAATCTGTTATACTCCTATGAATACATTTGTTACACACACACACACACAGGTGTGAAACATTGTGATCTCAGACCAGAGTTGAGCACGACGAAGTTGAAGGGTCAATTAGCGCAGGAACCAAATACTTCCTCCCATTGACGCCGTGCGCATTGTAGCTAGCCCCAGTAGTGGGGTCCACCAACAGGTCCCCAGCATAGCCCGGGTAGGCCCCTTTAGCATAAACACCAGGACAAGCTGACGCAGCCTCTAGGGGTGCACCCGCCGGGCCCTGATAGTAGCCATTTCCAAATGGGTTCGTAACCGTCCCAGCCAACAGGCTAGCCAGGTTCATGACCATACCGTCCAGACCCACATCGTTGTTGGGTGCAACCAAGGGCGGGCTCTGTGGTCCGTAGATGGGTTGGTGGAACGGCCAAGCGCATTGACCCGGGCACTGAGTCTCCGAGTTACCAACCCAGATGTAGGCAAACTTGTAATTCTTGCCCTCAACCTGGGCACTGCTCTTGGCAGACCCATGGGTCCCACACCTACTGGAGCAAAACCCATCAACGATCACATCAGACGAGGTCAACACAACGTTGATGGCGTTGTGCTGATCACCCTTCGCTGCCAGCCGTTTGATCTGCTGACCAGTGAGTGATTTACCCAATGAGTAATTCTCATCCAGGATGTGATTACCCATTGATAGGAGCGCCAGAGAAGAGTACTTCTTGGAGTTGATCTGATGGTAGTATTTCTCTGTGGCCTTCCACCACGTGGCGACAGATGGTTGGGCCATTGTGGGTTTTGAAGAAGAAGAAGAAGAGAGAGAGGTAATGAAATCTGAAATAATGGCACGTTGGGAAGGCTTGAAATTGCCGTACCAAATGAGATTGATGGAGATTTTGCCGCTAAGAAGGGGGCCATTGTGGTACTGAAACAGAAGGTTTTCCTGATCCTGAGTTGACTCAGTGAGTCTCCTAGCTGCCGAGGTGAAATGGAACAGAGACAATAAAAGAACAATTTTTGTAAATAAATGACTACAACCGAAAGAAGCCATTGTTGAACTTCAGAAGATATATAATGGGTAGTGAAGTAATGGTTTTTTTGGTACTAGTTTGAGTGAATAAGAAATGGGGGGGCATGGTATTTATAGAGAGAGAAAGGTAGAGAAAGAGAGAGAAAGAAGCTACTAGGAAGGAAGCAGGGTGAGTGAAATGCAGCTTGATATCTCAGAAAAAGAGAGATACAGCTTGATAACGCGTTGTTTTTTTTTAAAATTAAATTGTGAGGGGACTTTAATTTCAACCGAATCTATCTACTACACAGCTGGGCTAAGACAATTGAGACACAACCCAGTGACTAGGGAAGGACAAATTTTGGTTTTGTCTGGGTATTGAATATTTGGTTGCAAGCTCTCCTTTGACTTGTTGCACGTAGGGCATGTTACTACCGATATGGTTTCAATTGTTTAAGGCTATAATTCTCGCATTACACCATGACAATACAAGGTTCTATATTATCCTACAAATTTTCTTTTGTAGATTAGGTAGAATCAAAATATTCCATTCCTCACTTCAAATCATATATTAAAGTTCGGATATACTCGTAAATCATATTTATTATTTAAATTTGTGTTTTTGAATTTTATGAGAGTCAACTCAGGAATGTAGAGTTTTTGGTTTCTTTGAAACCTTTTTAATCAGCGGGTCACTCGTGTCGTGTAAGTTGTAATATATTAAAATTATTTACCGGATAAATTACATTGACCTCCTCTATTATTTGAATAAATTACACTCAAATAAAATATTTGATTTTTATTACTTTAACTTCCCCTAAAGTATGAAGAATTTCTTATACTCTAATATAATTTAATAGAAACAAATTTTGTCAAACCAAAAGACTATCCTTTTATTTTCCCCCTTTTTGTAGACACTATATTACCCTAACTAACTTCTTCTTCTTCTTCTTCCTTTTTTTATTTTTTTTATTTATATTTTTTTATTAATGATATTTGCACCTCTCACGTAGAAAAAATAATCCTAAAGTATGATATTTGTGTAAATAGGTCCTACTTTCACATCTATGATAAAAATTAAACTAAAATGTCCTTAACAAAATATTTTATAATATATATAAAAAAATAAAATTTTGAAAAATAACTAAAAAGGATTTGACCCTTGTTCTTCTTCAAATATGTGGTTTGGCCCTTCTTCGTCTTGGTGGCTACCGCCGCAAAGAGGGAGGGGAAGACTGGAGAACTTCAGTGTCTCGTCATATCCGGCGAGTTATAGACCCAACTATGAATAAGAACTCCAAGTTGTTAGACCCATTCCGATAATGGTGTACCGAGTTCAACTGGCTATTAAAACCGGCGAGTTTGGTCTGTCCAATGCACTCCTCTCCGACGAAGTTTCATGAAACGAGCAGACCTATTTCGCTGAGATATAGTTTGATGAGCTACGAGAATTGTTAGCTCTCGTTCAGCTCCATACAATAGCTTGGTCACTATCGTTAGGTAGTTGATGCTCAGTCTCTGAATAATAGCTTCCATTAGTTCTGACGATGGCGAGCTTCATCTCCGGTGAGCTTTCCTTCTGTTAAGACCAACTTGCAGCGACGAACTAAGAGACTGAGTAAGCGTCATCATTGTGCTCCATCAAGCACCCAACAACGAGCTTCTAATGTATAGGTCGGTGTGCTCCAGTTCTGGTGAACATCCGTTTCGGTATGCCAGGAAGGTTATGGGTTTGGTTCTACTATCGCCGGCGGTGAAGAAACTACTGTAGGTGTCCAAAATATATTAGCCCACACGGCCCACATAGCTTAGTCAAACAGTCAAAGAACTACGCCACATTATCAACAATGACCACATAGCTTGGTCAAATAGTCAACAGACTACGCTATATCAACAACGATGACCCATAAATCAAACGGTTAACGGTCAAAGATACGTGCCATTTACCACGTTATCACTATACTTCGAACAGAAGAGCGAAGACTTAAAGACCTGAGTTGGGAGCAGGACTCAGGATTACCTGGGATCCGAGAGGTACTTGGTTTGGTGGCTGAAGTCCAGGGCTTGTCGAGTTAACCCTCGACCTGACTTGCAGAGAGAGAAATACCATTTTGACTCCCGAAATTAAACCTCATTTAATATAGCTTTATAATTATTTGAGATATTTTCTCTTTTAATTATTATATTAATTAATTCATATGTGATGTCATCCAATGACATCATCCAATCTCTCACCTGGCCTATATAAGGAAGTGTTCCAAGGCCAAAAGGGGTAGAGTAAACAAGGGAGGAAAACACCTCATAGACATTGAGAGCTCTAAGCCTCTCTCTCATTGGTTGTCTTCACAACCCTTAAACATTTACCAAGGGAGTTAATGGTGTTTAGTATACTGCCATCCTCTTTCTCTTTCTCTCTCTCAAGTTTGCTTGGGCTTCCACCTCTCTCAGTCCACCTCGGATTCTATTATGTTGTCTGGATCACTCAAATTTGTGTATGATATCACCATTTATATGTATTTTATTGTGTTACGAAAACGAGCCCCCACAATTTGGCGACTTCATTAGAGATTTCAACACAAAGTCGATGGACTTAGGCGACTAGCCGATGCGGTGAGAACGTCTTCTATATGTGCTCACAACTTAACTTACCACCCCCACACTGGTGATATTGCTCTAAAACTCATGCTTTTATTTCTTCGCTTTTTGTTTATACTGATGCACATATTTGTGACACGATTTTGCATTAGCCTAATAATGTCGAGCTACATACTGCTCATGCCCATGTCTCACATCAACATTTCTCAAACAGCCAACACACCTTTGGCATAGTACATCATTACTTTCATTCATGAAGCCAAATCTAGCAATTGCATGGGTGACTAAACATAAATTTAAACATCTCCGGCTGCTTTGGCCCCATTGAGCCAGCTTGTGTGTCTATTTCTTCTTTGTCGTTTACATTGCCCCACTGCTCATCTATACATACATGTATTTTTGACCACTCACTTTAATATTTTGTTCTACCCATATATTTGTCTTTTGTGCACATATAAATAAGCCCTTATGTGTATGGCCCAAATATATGTACCTCATTTTAGGAGCAACAATTTCTATCAATGTAGTAATGGTTTGAGATGACTTTGCATACAATCTTGCAGTGAATCTACTACTACCACGCTTAAAGTATATATTATATTTTCATCATTATCTCAATATTGATTGATTGAAAAGCTTACACAATGCTTTGGTGAAAAGTTTAAGGCTTCCTCTCTACAACTACACGTTAAAAGGACATGATGTTGCCAATAGATCAATCAAGAATTTATTTATTAGTATTTCACTATACCTTCGTGGCTTCAAGTCATTTCTTTATTGTCATCCTCCTCTTTTTTGCAAAGTTGCTTAATTACATCTGATATAATCATAGCTCTGTGCCTAAGTCTACCACCTATGAGCACACGGCTCAAGACGGCTAAGACAAGTAGTCTACACAATAAACTCAACTTATCTTACCTAAGTCTACCACCTGTGAGCACACGACTCAAGATAGCTAAGACAGGTAGTCTACACAATAGACTCAACTTATCTTACCTAAGTCTACCACCTATGAGCACACGGCTCAACACAGCTAAGACAAGTAGTTTACACAATAGACTCAACTTATCTTACCTAAGTTTCCCACATGCGAGCACACCGCTCTTGCTAGCATCTCACACTCGCTCTTGCTAGCATCTCACTTGCTAGCATCTCACGTTCGCTCTTGTTAGCATCTCACGCTCGCTCTTGCTAGCATCTCGTACTCGCACTCGCTAGCATCTCACACTCGCGCTCGCTAGCATCTCCTACTCGCTCTCGCTAGTATCTCGCACTCGCAAGCATCTCACTTGCTAGCATCTCACTTACTAGCATCTCATACTCGCTCTCGCTATCATCTCACACTCGCTGGCTAGCATCTCATATTCGCTCTCGTTAGCATCTCATGCTCGCTCTTGCTAGCATCTCACACTCGCTCGCTAGCATCTTGCCCTCACTTGCTAGCATCTCGGACTCGCTAGCATCTCACGCACTCACTCACTAGCATCTCGCACTCGCTCGCTAGCATCTCGCACTCGCACTTGTTAGCATCTCACGCTCACTCTTGATAGCATCTCACACTCGCTCTCGCTAGCATCTCACGCTCAGCATCTCACACTTGCTCTTGCTAGCATCTCACACTCGCTCTCGCTAGCATTTCGCACTCGTTCGCTAGCATCTCGCACTCGCAAGCATGTCACTTGCTAGCATCTCGCACTCGCTCTAGCTAGCATCTCATACTCGGTCTCGCTAGCATCCCACACTCGCTCTTGCTAGCATCTCACACTCGCTCTCGCTAGCATTTCACACTCAGCATCTCGCACTCGCTCTTACTAGCATCTCACGTTCGCTCTTGCTAGCATCTCACACTCGCTCGTTAGCATCTCGCACTCACTCGTTAGCATCGCGCACTCGCACTCGCTAGCATCTCATGCTCAGCATCTCACACTCGCTCTTGCTAGCATCTCGCACTCGCACTCGCTAGCATCTCATGCTCGCTCTTCATAGCATCTCACACTTGCTCTCGTTAACATCTCACGCTTAGCATCTCACACTCGCTCTTGCTAGCATCTCCGCTTGCTCTTGCTAGTATCTCACACTCGCTCGCTAGCATCTTGCACTCGCAAGCATCTCACACTCGCTTTTGCTAGTATCTCACACTCGCTCGCTAGCATCTCGCACTCGTACTCGCTAGTATCTCATGCTCGCTCTTGCGCTCGCTCTCGCTAGCATCTCACACTCGCTTTTGCTAGCATCTCACGCTCGCTCTTGTTAGCATCTCACGCTCGCTCTTGCTAGCATCTTGCACTCCTCGCTAACATTTCGCACTCGCTCTTGCTAGCATCTCACACTCACTTTTGCTAACATCTCATGCTCGCTCTTGTTAGCATCTCACGTTTGCTCTTGCTAGCATCTCGCACTTACACTCGCTAGCATCTCACGCTCGCTCTTGCTAGCATCTCACACTCGCTCTTGCTAACATCTGTAATAACCCAGTCATTTTCCTTCCTTTCCTTTTCTCAGATTTTCATGGATATATATATATATTTTTTCCGTTGTTCTTTTCCTTTCTGAGTTCAGTTTTTCATCACTTAGTGTCGTTTCGAGTGCTCTAGAATG